CACACGCACACACACCCCTCCCACCAAAGCCCATCAGGACATTCACAAAACCAGAAGGCGTTCAGCACATCAGTCTGACAAGAGCTTTCAAAATTACTTTGAACCACTGAACTTTGCACCTTGCTCCAGCATCCAGAAAATACAAACAGGAGTCTCTGTGGAAGGTGTAACTACATGTAATATGAACTTTTTTAATGAACTATTTTTTTTAAATAAATAACAAGATGTGCATATCTAAAAGAGTGACTCTACAGCACTTCAAGTAGATCTTGCCAATTACTTAGTAGTTGGTGCAAATACTTTCAGTAAACCAGTCTGGTGGTTCTGCTCTCCCTCACCAAGAGGCAATAAAGCTTTAAATACCAGCAGTAGCAGGTATAACCCCCTCCCCATATTCAAGCCCATCACACAAGCAGCCCGCCTGCCACACAGCCCAAACACATGCAGCCCATTCATGGGGAGATAGGTAACCCACCCCCGCTACGTGACCCGGGGTGCATTTCTGAGGTAAGGGAGGACACCTGCACGTTGGTCGCGGGCAAGTGCAGCTCTGGCCGTGTGACGAGAGCACGAGCCTGCAGCCTCTCGGATCCACCAGGCAAATGGTCGGTCAGGCAACCCTGAACTCAACTGATCAAAACACAAAAACTGTAAAGGTTGTATCCTTGGAAGGTTGCCTCCTATCAAGATGAAGAAAAAAAAAAAAAAAAAAAAAAGAGCACAGCTCCCAGAACACTTCCCTTGTGTACCAAGTCCTGAGTGGATATTGCATGCGATCACCTCCTGCCATTCAGGACTGCATCAACATCCCTATTTTGATTGTTGGAGACATACGACTATCATCTTCTGTATGAACTACCTCAGTATTAAGAAGTTAGTGGCTATTGCTTTCAGGAAAGAAAAGCAGTCCGTACCATATTATTAGCTAAAATTTTTCAATAGTAAGTACATCAAATACATGGCATGAGGAGAAGCACACACACGTGCTATTACAATTTTCTCGTTACTACCTCAAAAAAGAGCAAAGAGAGGAAGTAAGTAGTATTAGACCTTGCCTAACACCATACATTATTTCGAGACGTGAATATCCTTAAAGGTTTGTGCTTCTTTTTAAAAAAAAAGGGCTGAGCTGACACACCTTTATTCTGCTATTCCAGTCATTACACTTGCCAATATGCTGCTGAATCACAGGTCTGAAATAACAGTGGGTGTGGGAAACCAAAGGACAGATAAAACAGACTTTAAATCCGTGTTATCAACCAACACTCGGTCTCTCTCCAGAAGCAGTAGAACTTGATAATACACATTGCTGAGAGGCCAGCTAAATATCACCCTTTAAAATCCAGTTTCTTCAATCTATTGTTCTGAGATGACCATCACGATAATTATTAGTTAGAGCTGACACACTGCTGAAACACGTATGACCTCTCCACATCGTTTTTTCCAACGACTAGAAAAATCACCATTCACCCACCCTCATCGCTGAACCCGCTGTGTAGAGGACGCCGGCCGAGGGAAGGGTCTGCACAGCATGATGGGCAGCGTGAGATGGTCTTCCTCCATGAGAGAAAAAAAAAAAAAAAAAAAAAAAAGCAAAAAAAAAAAAAAAAAAAAAAGGATGTACACATGCACCAGCGCAAGCGGCCCCTACATCAGCAGTGCCGGACTGCCTGGAGTGCGGGGAATCCTGCGATACACACGCCTTAGCTCTTCAGCAGCAAAATGCCTGATAAAAAGTATTTTACTGGACGGAAATACAGACTGGGCAAAATCAGAAGCTGCTTTTTTTTTTTAAACTTCCCAGGCCATTTACCTTTATTCACATGCTTTAGTCTTAATATGAACATTACAGATAACCCAAGAGACACCTAACGACGTTAGAGAAGCACACAAGAGCTGTGAGCAACAAGAGTAACGTGATTAATTATTTGCTTCAGGAGATGAATTACAACTTTTAACTAGGAGTCAAGATGACCAGTAAACATGAAAGAAAAAATTCCTTTTGACGCGATCCAGATGCTTTAACTCCACAATAAACTAGAGCTAGCTTCAGTGAGAAATGGGCTGTTTGTAGTTAGAGCGCTTATGAATACAAACCTACATCTCCAAGTACTGCTGAAGTTTGACACATACTTCCTGTATGACAGTAAGAAAACATCCGATGAACAATGTTGGGAACCACAGTTCTGAATAAGGTATGCTGATGACTCAGGCATCTCTTGGAAATCCAATATATTTCTGCTTGTATGTGGTTTCTTCACACTAACAGAAAACAATCAGGACAAACTTTGAGGTCTCCAGAACAAACTCTCGTTATTCATGGAGCACGGAATTTTTGTTCTTTTGAGGAAAGATGATGAGTTAGTGGTATGGTAATCTCTCCATCTTTCAACCGTGCATCAGCCCACTGTACCTTCACAATTTTTCTTCTTACATGCAAATAAGCTGAACAATGTTAAAGTTTGTCATCAATTAGCCATCCATGAGTCTCACTAAGCAATGAGATACTTGCTTTGGAGTCAAATAATATTTTTTACAAAATATTCTCAAGATTGGCCTTCCCCACCCCAATACGCAGTTAGGGATAACGTAGGTAACAAGGAGTTTCAGGTAATATAATAACCAGGGGATTCAGCAGAAACAAAAAAGAAAATCCCTGCCATGAAAAAAGCTTGTTATTTTATACCGTTTCCCTAGATACTCAGACAAGTAATCCTCATCCATAGATGCCGAAATCATCATCCATAGGTGCTGATTACAACTTCAGAATTATTGGTAATTTCATTTTTACTGCAGTATGGACTGTGGTAGATCACCTGGTAATCTCCAACCACCCTTAAGCTTATCCTCAATTTAAAACTAAAGCAATCCTGAACTACTGACCTGCAAGCAGCAGTTCAGTTGAAAACTGTAACATTTCTTCTTCGGTATTATTGACAGAAAGCGCGAACAGGCAGCTCCGACCAGTGTCTACCAGGTATTACGTAAGAGAGTATCTGATATAATAATTAAGGGATATTTAAGTAAACCATCAACAACAGGTTTTGTAAAAGATAACCTTGTTCATGGAAGTTGTCAGGTGCACAGTAGCAACAAATGAAGCTGTGTTAAACACACAGGACACACACATAGCATGGGACCTGGAAGCAAAACTCTGCTACGTTAACCTGCTAGCACACCTCAATTTAAAACACTACTGACTGAGGAACGAAGAGACAAAATCAGTGCTAACTACTTCCAACTATGATAGCAGTCTTTGGCGAGACATGCCTCTCCCTCCAAACGAGCTTCTTGAATGCAAGTCGTACCACTTTAACCAATTATACCTCAATCACCGCATTCTCACTGTACACTCTTACGACTGGAGACATTAAACTTCCACACTGACTATACCAAAGCAAATATACCTTTATCCTCTCATAAAAGCATCACATGCCATAAAAAAAAAAAAAAAAAAAAATCAGGGAAGAGGAGACAGTCACATCACTAACCACAAGAGTTGCATTTACCAGCAACAGTTACCTTTCAAAAATAAAAAAAAAAATTAAAAAGCACTGCGATTTAATTTTAGGTTTCTTTTTCTCTTGCCAGTTCTGTTCACTTCAAGCAAAGAAGAGCTGTAGAAGGTGCCCCATTTTTTTTTGACAAAGAAACATTTTCCAGCAACTCCTGGTTGGAGTAAAAGATTCATAAACGCTGCCATTCGCTTAACCCCATTTCACGATGCACGTTAATACGAGTCCCTAAATCCAGCACTTCTTTACTCCAGCAAGAGCGCGTCAGGGCCAGCCCTGTGTCACACGCTGGAAATAGCGTTCACCTTTAGCAGGCGCGGATGCCGGG